CGTAAGGACTATATCGTCGGCAAATGGAAGCATTTGCCGATGATATAGTCTTTAAAGTACAGTAAGTAAGTGTCCTTTCTAGTCCAGTAGCTTGAAATCGTCTTCGATGACTGGAATATCGATAAGACTTGTTCTCGGACCGTTACTCACACTTGCATGTGGCTCCAATAATGACGTGTACAACTGCCCAAAGAACCTCTCACTCTGACTAAAAATCTCAGGTATCCCGGAATGGATGAGGATGAGAATGCCACACTCTGTCTTCAGCTTCAATAGTTGGCTTTTTCTGGCAAACAGATCTCTGGCAAAGATTTTGGAGCCCTGGTTCCGATCGATCGCTTCTTCGATACGAGCTGTACTGAAGTTGCGTAATTCCCGTCGCTTGCATTTGGAGATCTGTCTGTTTAGTTGCCTTTATGCTGCTAAAGACTGCAGATTTATTTTAGTCGATTTATATTAGTCGTCATAATGAAGTCAATATAATTTTTTGCCGAACCGTCAGGGCGAGACCAGCTACACTTTCTGTGGGGCCGCTTCTGGAAGAAAAAGTTCATCATAAAGAGTGCCTCTTGCTCCATAAAGTCGGCCAGTTGCTGGCGCTTTGGGTTTCGTTGCCATATCCCAAATTTCCCTAGCTTCAGCTCACCGTTCTCCCTTGTGCCTAGTTTTGCGTTGAAGTCTCCCATTAATACCGTATAATGGGTTTTGGCGGAATGCATGGCTCTAGAGATATCCTCATACATTTCCTCCACCTCCTTGTCGTGATGCGCTGAGGTTGGTGCGTAAATCTGTATAAGGTACACAACCCTCGTCGACATACTCAAAATCTTTACAACGTTGTTAACGAGAGACTTGTGGACGATAAATCTGACATCTTCTTGGGACAGATGGTCGCCCTCCCGGTGCTAGAACAAGTTGCCAGATTCGAGTATCTACCCTTCTCTTGGGACCTCGAATCCTATAATATCCTATAATAATCTCTTCTTCCGGGTCCATGATATTCTCGTCGGTCTTCTGGGTGTGTGCGTTATATGTTTAGTCGACTTAAGTGGCAACCGAACCTCCACCGGAGATTATTAGCATCCCTGCCCTGTCGTTATCATGGTCGCCACCGTAGGCAGGCAAGGCAAGGCAAGGCCGCCGCGAACTGGGGGCTGTTTATTCGTAACTCTCATCATGGGGGTATATTGACGTAGTTCCCATGCTTGGCAAGCGGGTTGGTAACCGCAGTTTTTATAGTTATTTTGCTGTTTCTAGAACGCCGTGTCAGTGTCGTGTCTTTCTACACCTATGGAAACTTATGGTGTAGTGGGTATTACTACACGGGATAACAAATAACAATTTAACAGTGGTAGAGCCACGCGACAGCTTTGCTGTTGCACGTATGGGCCGGCTTAAACCGGGGTGGTACCACAACTAACAGAATACCGGCGTGAAGAGAAAGCTTTGCTTCCGTGTTTCGTCTGGTGAGTGCAGGTGGCCGGAGGCCCAATTCCCTCCTCACATCAACATGGTAGCGGAATTAAATATGAGACTACCCCAGGAGGATACCAGCACCCCTGGAGAATCCGTCGCTGAGCATTCACGACCAAGTTACTCTACTCCTGAGCGTAGCTGCTCAGGCTGCCCCGTGTATTCTGGGAGGGGGGGGGGGCAAAATTCCACTCAAGACTACAACTGCTCGGGCAAACGGAGCAATAAGGCCAAGGCGACTCCTGCCACGCTATCCGTGAATTTCTGCAATATCAGGGGACTTCACTCTAACCTAAGCGCCGTCCACTACCATCTTGAGACGGCGAGGCCGGCTCTGCTCTTTCTGACCGAGACGCGGATGTCCTCTCCGGCTGTTGTCTCGTATTTCTCATACCCGGGCTACAAACTGTAACACTCCTTTGTGCCTCGGGCTGGAGTTTGCGTTTACGTCTGAGAGAACATCTGTTCTCGACGCCTCGGAAGTCTTGAAGGTTCGGACCTCTCCATCCTTTGGCTACGCGTAGACAGCGACGACCATCCACGTGTCTACGGGTGCCTCTATAGGTCCCATAGCGGTAATGCCGAAACAGACCGACTCTTAGACCACGTCCAAATGGCTACAGATTCGTTGCTACAGCAGATCCCCTCCGCAAGACTGTGAACCTCGGGGACTTTAACGCCCATCACGCCGATTGGTTTGGTTCACGTTTAACCGATCATGCGGGGAGATCTGTTCATGATTTTGCCTTGGCATATGGTCTGACGCAACTGGTTATTTCACCTACGCGGATTCCGGATGTGAAGAATCATGCACCTTCCCTGTTGGACTTTCTGCTGACCTCTCACCCGGACGGATATCAGATTTCCGTCGTCGCCCCTTTAGGCTCCTCGGAACATTGCCTTGTCCGGTGTGTGGTGCCACTCACGCTGAAATCGCGGTTGCATTCTGCAGGCTGCCGCCGTGTTTGGCACTATAGGTCAGTCGATTGGGATGGGATGTGGTCTTTCTTTGCATACTACTCTTGGGGGCGGGTTTGCTTCTCGCCGGTCGATCCCAAAGTTGTTGCGGATTCTGTCGCTGATGTGGTACTTCAGGGTATGGAACTTTTTATTCCTTCCTCTGTGGTGCCCATTGGAGGCAAATCTCAGCCATGGTTTGGTCGCTCCTGTAAAATAGCATCATACTATAAGCAGGAGTGCTACCAAGCCTGGGCTGACGCATCAACGTCGCGGTTTGTAAACATCAGCGCTCTAAAAAAGAAGTATAATTCCCTTCGTAATCCTAATGGCCTTCGTCCACCTCCAATCCCTAAAAAAGGTGACCGCTCAGATCCGTCCAACTACCGGCCTATCGCCATCACCTCCTTGTTCTCCAAAACAATGGAGACTATTGTTAACTGCCAGCTCATGAGTTACCTCGAGGATCTCCAGCTAATTAGTGATCGCCAATACGGTTTTCGCCGTGGTCGGTCAGCTGGTGATCTTCTGGTCTACCTAACTCACAGATGGGCGGAGGCAGTAGAGTCCAAGGGGAGGCATTGGCCGTTAGTTTGGACATTGCGAAGGCCTTCGATCGGGTTCGGCACAAAGCGCTTCTTTCGAAGCTCCCTTCCTATGGGCTTCCCAAGAAATTGTGCGATTGGATCACCAGCTTTCTTGCAGATCGGAGCATCAAGGTCATTGTAGACGGTGCAAGCTCCGATTGCAAGCCTATTAATGCGGGTGTTCCACAAGGCTGCATGCTATCGCCAACGCTGTTTCTTCTGCATATCAATGATATGTTGCAAACCTGTAACATTCATTGCTAGCAGATGACAGCACTGGTGATGCTCTTTACACCGGTCGTGCCAATATTTCTCGGCAAAACGTCTCCGAGTACCGGGTAAAACTTGTGTCTGAAGTCGAGTCTTTGCTGAAAAGAGTCTCGGATTGGGGGCGACTAAATGTAGTCCAGTTTAATCCCCAGAAGACACAAGTTTGCGCGTTAACCGCTAAAAGGAACCCCTTTGTCGTATCTCCTCAGTTTCAAGGCACTCCCCTTGTTGATTCAGCCAGTATAGGAATCCTCGGCGTTGACCTATCGATTGACGTGCAGTTTCGTGGTTATTTGGAAGATAAGGCCAAATTGGCCTCTAAAAAGCTTGGCGTGCTTAGTAGAGCGGGACAGTATTTCATGCCGGCACACCGCCTGCAACTTTACAAGGCGCAGGTTCGGCCGCACATGGAATACTGTTCCCATCTCTGGGCTGGGGCTCCCCAGTACCAGCTCCTTCCACTTGATCGCATCCAGCGCAGAGCGCTCGTGGTTTCCGATCGGCTCGATTCACTGTCGCTACGAAGAGATGTTGCATCTCTTTGCATTTTCTTTCGCATATACCATACGGAGTGCTGTGAGGAATTGTTCGGATTAATCCCAGCCGCCAAATTTCGTGAACGCACTACGCGGCAAACGTCCCGATACCATCCACACCATCTGGATGCTTGGCGGTCCACCACCACTGTACGTTTCAAAAGGAGTTTTCTTCCGCGTACGACCTCTCTGTGGAATAGTTTAGCACCGGCGATTTTTCCAGAACGATACGACCTGGGGACCTTCAAGAAAAGAGCGTACTCCTTTCTAAAGGACTGGCAACGCACCTGCAATTCCCCTGGTGTTGCGGTTGATCATGGGCGGCGGTAGTCACTTAACATCAGGTAAGCCGTATTCTCGTTTGCCCCCTCTTCTATAAAAAAAAAAAAAAACAAATAAATAGCCCATTAAATATTATCACACGAGAACCCTGCGTTAACTGTGTTGTGGCAATGTAGAAATATGCACTACCCCATATTATTTGTGGGTGTCGTAAGAGGCGACAGAAGAAAGCTAAGCCAGTTGTGGGCAATGATGGGCAGCAGCATCTTTCTGATAAAAGCTGAATAAAACTGAAATAAAAAAGCACTGCAACAATAGCAAATATCCCTCCCTGAGATGATGATAAGTAGGTAAAAAAATTGTAATTTTAGTTTGTATTTGCTTAAAAAAAAGTGTTGTAAATGAAAATACTACTGCGTGGCATATTTACCATGCCAGCTTCACGCCCGCCCCCGCGCGCTATCTACAGCTGTGACACAATTTTCGTTCTGAACTGCCGATCTAGTGGTATACATGGAAGTCTTTGTTTATAGCCAGGGTGGAGGTAAGCCAGAAGACCAGAGTGAGGATGTATTTTTTAATATAATGAGAGTGACAAGCGAACACACAATCCTCCTGATTGTAAGCGGATGCTGTGGCCCATAGACATCTAAATTTATTCTCAATTAAGAATCATAATACAGATGCGTTGTCACCCCTGAGGACTAAGATGGAATACCTCGTTTCCAGTAAAAAGGGTCTCCGGTTTTCTACACTCACCATACGAAACACAGCAGCATTGAGTTGTTATTGTGCGCTCGTAGTCTGTGAGAGCGTGGTTCTTCCCCCGTCAAGCTGCAGCATGGTTCTACCACGTATGAAAATATGGTATGGTGGCGATGCGTTGCAGGCAAGCATGGAAGCGCACCGTGCGCTGCGCAAGGAGGGCGTGGTGCTGCGCGAGGAGCTGCGCGAGCTGGGCCAGATGTTCGCTGCGCTGTACGAGCAGCAGCAGGCCGCCGCGGTGCGGCTGCAGTTCAAGGACGAGATCATCCGCGAGATGCGGCGCCAGCTGCGGCAGGCCAAGGCCAAGGCCAGTCATTGCATTCCTTCATTAATTTCAGCCTAAAGGTCAACTATTGAACCCAGGCTTCACCCACACATTATTTTTATACAGAACGGTGACAAACGAGAACACAGTTCACCTGATGACAAGTAGATGCTGTTGCCCATACACATCTACGTTTATCTTCGATTAAGATTACTAATTTTTGTTCCCATCTACGCAGTATGAACTTATTATATCTTGAAGTGTTACAGTTAAATGCTATTTAAATAAATTGGTAATAAGAATATGTAGAATAAAGTTTATTAAACTTGGTAACAATATTATAATAAATAGACCCTACAAATTATCCTACTCCTGGATATCTCTGCAATCGCCTCATTCTACTCGAAGTTTAGATTTCTGAATGTTTAACTTTTACCGCGTGTGACTTGCACAAATGTTTTTTTAAATATGTGTAGTCGGCGCATTTAAAACCGACTACATACATTTAATTACATAGATTTAATAGGCATGGCATTTTATGTTTATCTTAATGACAACGAATCTGCATTTTGATTGTTAATGGATGACAACTTACTTTAAAACAATGTCATGTGTTTTGAGTCACGTTAGGTTATGATATACGCAGTTAAAAGTTACTTTACTAATCAGTTTACGACCATATTCACGACGATTATGCTTTAAAAAAGGATCAATAAGTTATCATACAAAATTAATTGTCTTCTGCTTGCGGTGTAAGTGAATCCATCATCCGATTTAGTATCGTGGGTGTCGTAAGAGATGGGAAGGAAAGTCCAGAAAGACGAGTTGTTTTCTATGTGGCTTGAACCATGCTATAACTATATTATGATTGTAGCACGAATGGGTGGACATGACCGGGGAAGGACCACGTTATCACAGAATACTAGCGTAATATAGCAGCTCAGCGCTTCTGTGTTTCGTATGGTGAGTGTAGAGAACCGGAGACCTTTTTTACTGGAAATCAGGTAGGTATTCTACCTAATTCCTTTAGTCTCAGGGCTGCCAACGCAAGTTAATTTTGATTCTTAATCGAGGATAGACGTAGATGTCTATGGGCCACAGCATCCACTTACCGTCAGGTCGACTGTGTGCTTGTTTGTCACCCATATTCTAAAAAAATAATAACCTTTGTGGACTCCGACACATAGCAGTATTCCATCTCATAACAGTTCAGCAGTGGACTGATGATAATGACTATATGAACGATGATATTGACATGTTTACAGATTGAGACGATTAATTCGAGCAAGCAGAGTCCAAAATCCGTGCCGAGAGACCGCGATGCCATAAACAATTCTACTATATCGTACGACGCCATGATGGCTTGCGTCAGGAAACAACCACGCAGGAAGAGAAGACTGCGGACCGAGATGGACGATATTAATATCCAGTGGGAATGTCAGAGCACTGTTGACGCTTCTGCAGAAGAAACCGTGTCTATTAAAGTAGATTAATATCTTTGTGCTTTTATCGAGTTTCTTAGATTTGATTACAGATATTTAATGTGTATTTTTAGTAAGTTTTTATATTATAGTGTATCGTTCTATTTAATTTTATTGTGTTCTGTTATGTAATTTATCCTGAAGTTATTGATTCGTTATGAATAAATATTGTTTCTGGTTTATTTTTTTATTTTTTATTTTGAAATCATCACGTTTGTTAATACGTGTCTTAGTCATCATCATCAATAATATGATCTGATCTAGATAATTTTTCGTAAAATTGCATCTGAACTTCTAAAGGAATGAGGTGGCGAAAAGATTTTAAATCACATATCTTCCGAGCTGTTTATAATATTTTGTAAGTTTTAAAAGACAGTGTCCCCAGATAATAAGCAATCTATTAAAACTCTTTTATCAATATTAAAAATCTTTTATGTTTTAAGTAAATAGATTGACTTGGCAATCGCACTAAGCAATCGAATTTAATATAATAAGTATTACATAGTGTTTTCGTGCGATGGCCCAAGTCAATCTATTTATTTAAAACATAAAAGAATTTTAATATTCATATGGTCACAACAAGATGTTATGTTAGCTAATTACGTAATAACTTAAGACAGAAGGACCCTTAAGTAGGGACTGAATAAATTAACCGACTTGGTATTACATGGATCTTACAAATTTTTACGATAGATGAACTGAGTTGCGAGACTTGGTTTTTTTACAAGTTATGTTTTTGAGGGCATTCTCTTTTGTCTCTTTATCATTATCATCATCATTACAGCCTTTCATTAGTCCACTGCTGAACATAGGTCTCCCGCAACGTATGCCACAAACCACTGCTCTGAGTTAATTGCTCGATTTCGTTCATGTCTAGGTAGTGACTTCATCTAGTCGAAGTTCGGTATATATCTAGTTTATCGTTACGAGGCTGGCACTCGAGAATCTTTCTTTTGGCGGCTTATTTTTGCTAAGTCTACTAATCAATTTTGGCTATGCCGGTTGTTTTAGTTTTACTTTTGATATTTTAGATAACTTTCGTTACATTTACGATGTACCCTAATTAGATATTTATATTGTACTTTTGTTGATTGTAAAAGGAAGCTCAAAAAAGTTACTAAAATAAAAATTGTAAATATGGACTCGGGTTCTTGGGATTATTATCAAAGCTTTTCTTATCTTCTATCAAAATTTGTGACAATTACCCAATAGATACAAAAACTCCATACCATACGGAGCATTAGCCGTTTTATAAGCTGACAGGAGAGATTCTCATTACGCCTACACTTAAAATAATGCTAAGAACTAGAATTCAATTTCGTTAATTAGATGTGGGAAATTTTCAATAATAAAGGACATGGAAAGTCTACCCGCACAGGAGGAAGGACGGCTGACTAATTCTGACTCCATAAACTTATATACGACGATATTTTTTATAGATAGAGTCAACCTGATAGTAAGTGGATGGACATATACTTCTATGTTTCTTCTTGATTAAGAATCAAAATGCACATGCGTTGTCACCCCTGACGGCTAAGATGGAATGTCTCGTTACAACTAATGAGCGTCTCCTATTCACTGCACTTACCGCACGAAACTCAGCAGCATTAACCTGCTATATTACGCTGGTATTTTGTGAGAGCGTAGTCCTTCCCCGGTAGAACACATCTATTCGTGCTGCAGCAATGACATAGCGTCAAGGCTTCACCGCGTCAAAACATATATAATTATAAACATTGATCCTCTTCTATCCACATCAGCCCATAATTTTTTTTTCTATACTTGAGGACTTGCTATCGCAGTATTGACGTACCATATCTTTGACACAGCCTCTAGTAGTCGATCTGGGTATTTTAAATTTGCAATAAGTACGAGATATTAGGATTACATTGACATACCCGTAGCCTCTAAAAACATTGGAGTTGAGATGAATTAATGGATGAAGGGACTGACATTATATTATATTGTATGTATAAATTGTAAATTAAATTTATTTAAAAATAAGTCCCACCGAGTTTCTTGCTGGTTCTTCCCAAAACAGAGTTTTTTTCCAAACCAAAGGTAAAAGTAAAAAATATACTTTTAATAAGAATTAATTGTAATATATATTAAATAAAAAACGATTCTATTCGATTCTATTATATTATAATGTATCGTACTCTATCCTATTCTATCTCATTCTACCCCATTCTTTCCTATTCTATCCTATTCTACCCTATTCTATTATATCCAATTGTATTATATTCTATTAAGACAAAAGTAAATAGTTTGTTTGGTTTAACATCTATTGACGTATTACCACTTAACATAAGGTAGAAAAGTTGGTTAGTGGTTTATAATGGTTAAAAAGCGATCTTACAATGTTTTATTTATTACATTGGTGACAACATTGAAACTTTTTGTAATGATGTGTATTGTTTCAGATGGGCCTTATAAAAGTTCCTACGGAGAGCGCTACTAGAGTCTCCACTTCATCTCCTAACAGTAGTCGAGAACAAATTGTAGTGGACATGAACGACTTCAGCCCCGACGTCTCCATTGTTGAATGTGTGTGTATATTGCTTTATTTTACATTAATGTAAGAGTATAAGCTTAGCCGAGTGGTGGTGGAGAATTCATTTACGCATCTGGTCCCGTAGATATCGTAAGAGATGACTGTGGGAAATCCTCAAAAATGTGGCCTTCGATAGATGTCGGTAAGCTTATAATCTTTTTGTACGTACCATTCGTTTATTTTTTAATTTGAACTTCCATAAATGATACTTGGTATCTCATTGTATGCTCTTTTATGGAAGAGGAGGCAAACGAATATACGGCTTAACTAATGATATGTGATCACCGTCGCCATGAACATCTGCAAAAGCAGGAATATTGAATTTGGACTGGTATAATGTCTGTATAATATAGTATTTTCTATTTTAAGATAATACAGAGATAGAATTAGGTATAGTACCGAACAGATTGACATGACAATTTTCTAGTGATGTTACATCACGTACCGGGTAGTTTATTTTGATAATATTTTTTGCAACATAAGAGCAAAATTAATTCAATAAAACTCATGAACTTTGAGCTACTGGGTCAATTCGATCTTGCTCGGGTGTAGGCCTAAGTCTCGACGCAAAATTCGCCAAGTTGAAGTCTGCGAAAGGCTGAGTTCTTGAGCACGGCAAGGAATCGACGGCCTCAGGTTCTGCTGTACACTTTCACGAACTGTGACGATGTTCTTGGCCAATGTTGCGTTCCTTGAACGTCATTTTAAATTTGGCCAACAAACGTTAAAGAGACGACTGACTGTGAAAGGTCACCACATCTACAGTAAAATGGGCGCAATGCTCGCAACGATAGCACTAACGAACACTCATTTTTATAATAAAGTTTTATCATTTGAACGTGCTGTTCAATCGTGAAACTTACCATGGTGATTTGGCATAAGTAACTGAAATATAATAATAAACAAAATATTTGATATATGTCACCAAAACAAAATGGCCACCACGGTCCGCCAAACTCTACCCACGCCAATGGAGAAACCCTTTAATAATATTTTATTCGTCACAATCAGTATTAAATGAACTCATACTATCATCGCTACAAGCACTTAGTGACTCTTCGTCACTAGTTTCTCCGACTTCTTCTTCTTCTTCACAATCTTCCATAACATTATCCATTTCTATATCCATTTCTCAGTATTCATTCTCCAGTTTCAGAACATGTTTTTCGAAATTTGCCCAGCTTTCTACCGTAATTGCCGAAATTGCAATTGTTGTTACTTCTTTCAGTTTTGTCAAACACAAATCGCTCTTTATGTTGTGTTCGCACATCATATATGGAGATAGTCTTATAATGTTATCGCCTTGTCCTTTAATTATATTGTTGATGGTTTAATTTCAATGAGTCTGTATTGTTCTTTCATTTGTCCATGGTAGTCGTTGGTAGCAGGACCGGCCTTATACATCAAAGAAGGCCTCGGTAAAAATCCGTTTTTGCCTCCTGCGCAGTAGCGCTAGAATAGACTCATAGTAGTACTATGAGTCTATTTCCAGAACAAGTATCTGTGAGAATTTCTTTTGATCCAGTCATTTACCAACACTTTTTGAAAGTTAAATTATTGTCCATCCACATTCCATCTAAATAAATAATATTTTTGTTGTGTTGTTGGTATTTTCTTATTGATAACGTTTGAAAACTATATCTGGCTTTTTAACTAAAAAATTTTTAACTCTATCTGTAGCTCATTTTTTTCAACATCCGTTGTTACCTACGAACACCCCAAGGAAAAGATATTTTTTCAAGTAGCTTAGGACATGTTGGAACATTTTATTTGGCCAAAAAATTCTGGAATAGTGTTGTTACGAGCTTAGGGTTCGTGACAGTAAAAACTGCCGATTGGATTATCAAAATTAACACTAATTACCGACACCAATTAAAACTTAAAACACACTAATAATTAATCACACTTAACACTTTAGTTCACTTTACTTCGCTCCCAAGTCTTCACTTGTGTCTCCAATTCAATACTGCTCCGATTACGGTCATAAAAGCCTTTATATAGGACCTTTTCCAATAAAACATCACGAATGTTCAAGCACATACCGGTCCCAACCGACTAAGTGTAGAAAGTTCCCTCCTAGTTTTGCCACTCGATACTAGATGGTGCTGGAGGTGGAAAGTTCTAACATGGCATTTTTTAGAAAGCTCTGCTCTGGCATTTACCGGCATTAACTATGGCGCGCAACAGTGTTATGAACCAATATACGATCAAAATTGTGTACACAAAATTTTTGGTTTGTATTCTCCAGTTTAGTCGACAATTTTTATTGTTTATCGGGTCCTTCTAATTTTGATTCGGATTTTATTGTGGACAAAGTTCTTTTCGATACGACGGTGTAAAACACAGCCTTATCCAATGTCTGACGGGCGATGTGCTGGTATGCGGGGTGTCCCCTCCCCCGCATCTCAGCTTGTACCCCGATTACCATGTCGACCTGGCGCGTATTGTAGATGTAGGTTGATTTAAGAGTAAGGAAAGAAAAAGAAACTTAAATAATATTCTTGTCTAGCACTGGCTTATAGTAAGTAAAAAATTGTACAGGTTATATTAATACATTATCATAGGCTCCTTTAAGATAACGTACGTAATATACATACCTCTTTTCATTCATTTTCATTCATTACAGCCTATCAAAAGTCTACTTCTGAACATAAGACTCCCCTGCGGCCTTTCAGCGGTATTTTGATATATTTTCCACGCTTGCGGGGCGCATTGGCAACCGCATTTTTTATTATTTTCAGATTTTATCAGGAAGTGGCTGAGTTTCATTATCCCCTGTCGTCGTTTATGAAACCCACGGGGACGATATGGGGTAGTGGATATTCTTACATTGCCATTACACGCTCAATTTTTTAAATTTAATCATAAATAATTAATTTAAACAAATAATCATCTATTAACATAATGCATTTAGTTTAGCATGATATTCTAGCAAAAAATTTTTTGGCAGTCACCTCCCGTGCCTTTTCTTATCCTGAATAATTCCGCGGAAGCACCAGCATGCTCTCAGGGTCAATGTGGGCAACATTGTTTGAGCGATCAGTCATTACTTAAGATAACGCTGGCAGAGGATTGCCCGTGTACTAAAATAAAGCAGTCACCTGTGAACAAGAAACAGTCGAAGGTTCAATTTTTAGGGTAAGTGGATTTTATAATTTTTATTTTTTTCATGTAGAATAAGGGTGACAAACGAGCACACGGTCTACCCGATGGTAAGTGGATGCTATGGCCCAAAGGCATCTAAAATATGTGCTCAATTAAGAATCAAAATGCAGATTCGTTGTCAGCCCTGAGGACTAAGATTGAATGTCTCGTTTCCAGTAAGAAAGGTCTATTGGTCACTACACTCATCATACGAATAACATCGTTATGTATATTTACGCTGGTATTCTGTGAGAGCGTGGACCTTCCCCGATCAACCTGAACTATTCATGCAACAACTTTATGAAAGCTGCAGCGAGGCCTTTGCACAAATATATATATATATATATATATATATATATATTCAATCGCGGGAACAGAATCATGTGAGTACCGTAGACTGTATCTGGCAAATTTTTGAAATGGTATAATGTCTTTCTGTAGTCTTAAACTGTCTATTAAATACATTGTTAGATGTGATATGATGTTGACCTTCTAGAGCTGTGGTCACTGATTGCATGATTCTGCTGCATAAACCTAATGATGTTTTTTATTTCATTTTTTATCTATCACTAACATTACGGCTCTTATAACTTATTGCTCTGGTAGAGCCACGCTGTAGCAATATTGCGGTTGTAGCACGAATGGGTCGGCTCGACCGGGAAGGACCACGCTCTCACAGAATACCAGCGTAAAATAGCAGCTTAATACTGCTGTATTACGTATGGTGAGTGTGGGGATTCGAAGACCCATTTTATTAAAATCAAGGCATTCCAATTTAGTTCTCAGGAGTTACAACGCATCCGCATTTTGATTCTTAATCGAATCCAGGGGCCACAGCATCCACTTACCGTCAGGAGGACTGTGTGCTCATTTGTCACCATTATCCTTGTAAAAAAACATTTTACGGTACTATTTTAATTGTCGTACACATTGTAAATAAAGCAGCGTTTGTGGATTTACTCTGAGAACTTATGAATGTCTACTTCCTCACGTATTAGGTCAAATAGTATAGTGGCGCGATTGCGGGGCGGATTTTTTATAAGATCTTGTGAATATATTCTCGTTTTTTCCATTTATTGTACAATTTTTGCTTAATTATTGTTCAACACTGGTGCTAGTATAAACTATCCTCTTTTTTACAGGGAAGGAAAGCCTGCGAAGCAGAGTGAAGACTGCAACGTAACCCAGAATGTACGCAAGTAAACGAGTAATAATGTTTTATTTCAAAACAATTAGCAGCTTATTCTTTATCATCATCAGCTAAAGTCCATTGCAGGATATGAGCCCCTTGATGCCGAAAGGATTAGCTTTTATCGCCATACTTGGCTGGCGGGTTTCAGATCGTAGCACCAGACTTGACGGCTAAACGAATGCTGTATGTGAACTGATCATGCTATTTCATAAATACACCTTAATTTTAGAAAACAACGTAGACATGAAATACCTGCATGTCCTGGATTATTCTTTCGTTACAGAACAACGGTAGCTCAGAACTCTGATATTATTTTCACTAAGCCGTTGAAATTGTTAATTCAAATAATATGAAAAGTATAATAAAATAGAATAAAATATTACTTAATATATTCTATTTTATTATATTCTAAGAAATAAAAAAATATTGGAGAACGCGTAGAGGACGTTGTCTTCACATTCATTACTTAAAAAATAACTCGATAGCGATGAAGCATTAATATTAGGTCTTTACCTATGAAATTACCGTTTTTTATCGAATAAGTTAACTTATTTTTTTTCTATATTTTTTATTTCTATCAATGAAAGTAATCACCAATGCAATCCATGCATCTTTGCCTACCAAATTCTGGAAAAAGTAGAAGACGCAAGATGTGATGAGTACGGCGTAAGACGGAGAACTTGCAATCCCAGCTCTTGTAACTTGGAGAACGTCTGTGGTGCAGTATGAGGTCGCACGTTGTCCAAAGCTGGTTGGTGACGTGTGAGCTTCTCCATTATTGTGTTCAGTTCTTCACAGTACAAATCTGCAGTAATGCTCACCCGTTTGGTAAGAAGTTGTGATGAATCATACCGGAGCTACACCAGTGTAATAGTGGGGATAAGCAGTCCACTATTAACAGACTCCGAGTGGTCTAGTGGCGGAGAAATGAAACTACTATTTAGGGTTGATGAGGATTCCTCTTCCTCATCCTCATAATGCGGAAGTTCCTCATTTTTTAGCGATTCCTCATCCTCTTCCACATCCTCAAAATTAGGCATAAAATATTCCTCTTCCTCTTCCACATCCTCATTAAATAAGAGGAATTTATGAGGAAGTGTTGTTGACGTATTCAATGTAAATAAAAGTAATCTCCGTCTTTTGCTCGCTGCATTAGATACTTTCACGATCAGGATTGAACGTGTTTTAGAAATATAACACAGCACGCTATTGTGTGTGTCATTGTGTGTGTGTGTAGTACTGTAGTGTACGTACCCATCCCACTGTAGTCTGTAGCCACTTAGCCAGTCTTAAATTTGTTTTGTTTTTAAGTGGTCGTACACTCGTACGTCACTAGAACTACGTAAGTCGTAATTAGGTTTATTGTTAAGTTAAAAAGTTTCTGAGATGAGGCCAAAATGTAGTTCTATATGGACGTATTTTAGTGAAGTGGACGCTGATACTGTTACATGTAAAATATGTGACCAAACATATTCAAGGAAAGGGCGCGGGACTTCGGGGTTAAGAAGTCATCTCAAGTCACGCCATGAAGTAGAATATGCCGAGTATGAACAAAAGGATACAGCAATAAAAAAAGCCGCGGTTGATAAACGCAAATTGTCGGAAGAGACTCCTCTTCAACAGGCTAAGAGACAAGTAACTTTACAGAAGGCATTACAAACAGTATACAGACATCAGTATTGGGATACATCTCACGAAAAAAAACTGCGAGCTGGATAATTTAATTTGCGAAATATTAGCTCTTCAAGATTTACCATTTAATTTTGTTGAAGGAATTGGCTTTAGACATTTGATTCATGCTATTCACCCAAAATATAATTTAAGAGGACATCAAAGTTACACATCTCATTTGTGTAATTATATTTATCCTAAATTAAGGAACAAGGTAAAAAACTTAATTAAAGATTTGCAATACTTATCTTTCACCACTGATATATGGACTGAACCAGGAGCAGGAGTTTCGTTGCGGAGTTTTACAATTCATGGTATCAACAATGACATTCAAAGAGTATCTTTATTTCTTAAATGTGTCCCACTCGAGGAACGACGTACGGGCGATGTGATAGCACAAAAGTTGGACGAAATACGAGAGGAATGGGAGATTCCCCGTCAAAAAATACATATCATGGTTCATGATGGTGGTTCTAACATGAAAAGAGCGCCCCGCGTGTCACAGATTAACGACATTGATTGCAATATACATCAATTGCAATTGTGCATACGTGCGGCCTTGGCGATTGATGACTATATTTTGTCCTTGTTGGCAAAATGTAAGCAAATCGCGACACATTTTAACCACTCAATAATTGCCCAAAGCGAATTAAGAATAAGGTTCTTCAAGAAGACAGTCTTTTGTGGTGGTAAATGAACCCCAAATATTTTGAACTTTACAGAGCTGTGCGCCAGTATCTTTCAGCCCCTCCATCAAGTGTCCCCAATAAGCGCCTTTTCAGTGGCGCTGGATTAGTTTACGACGAATTACGAAACTGTCTATCTGGAGAAACAGCTTTAAAGTTAATTTTCGTTAAATTCAACCTCCCTATTGTGAATTTTGACTATTAAATTGTCTTTTTTTCTTTCTAAATATTAAAGAGCCCATTCGCAATATTTCTTTTATTTAAAATTTCTATTCCAAATCACAGGTTCTATATTTCTCTTCCGCATCTTTTTCCTCATCCTCATCCTCCTCATATCCTCATCCTCTTCCTCTTCCTCAAAACGTATTTTTAATAGTTCCTCATCCGCATCCTCTTCCTCATAACCACTTCCTCATCAACCCTACTACTATTTATGTGCAAACGACTGGTGTATCGAGTATTGAATATGGAATATGGAATGAATTTTACGTCGACCCTGCCTATATTTATATGTCCGGTTACATCGTTAGTTAACCAATAGTAACAATTTTTATTTGCCTAGCCAATTACAGTACATACATTATGACCAATAAAGATTATTTAAAATACAACTATTATGTACGTTCCATTTGCCGGCGTGAGACTCGTGTTATCTTCTCGTATCTACTGACTGGGCTATAAAAGTTGTGCAGGACGGCGCGTTGCGCCCTCCTTTCTGCTGCGCCCTCCTTTCTGCCAAGGAGGGTCGCGTTCGTATACGGCTTAGAGATCTCTCGTCAGATCGGTAAGCCAATCCATAAAGGCGGTGTTTAGTGGGTAAAAGTCTCCACATAACCACGCAGCCGGCTGCGTGGTATGCTATGAGCATTCACCGCCTCCCTTCCCCGCTTTCCGGAGGGTTACCCATATTTGCTTTGGGCGAAAAAAAAAAGCGCGCGCGCGTAGTCGGCGAGCGGCGGCGGCATGGGACACAGCTTCGGAACAGCAAGAAGAAGCGAGCTGCGGCGTTGAAGAAACGGCTTCAAAATGGTCGACGGATACATAACGATAGCGGCGTGTGAAGACGATGTAGCGCTGAATGATATTTGCGGCTGTTTCTTGTTTCTATATTAGAACGTTAAATATATACGTCAAATTATCTCGCATCAATATGCACCCCCAGTATGTCAGTAGCCGGGGATAGTTAGGAAATAAATGTTTTCTTCGCCTTCTGTGTTATGGTAGCAGCAGATTAGCCTGGCTGCTACACCAGCAAATAGTGACCATCTCTTTTCTAGGGATAAGTTTTCGTATAGGTTTAATGCTTAGGTGCTGAATCAGAATACAACCATCTCAATAAGCACTTGCGATTGTCAAACAGACAGCTACTTTTCGCGCTGACGATCATGACGTGAGGTACCCATTTATTAAGCATTTTTACCTTGTCATTTGCCGCAAATGGACCAATATTGTTTTGATGCTAACGTCGAAAGCTGCTGCTAATTCAGCCGTAGGTTGAGTATCATCAGCTTCTACAATTACGACTGAATTTTCGGACGACCACGGGGTTCTTTTTTCACGTCGAAATTTCAGGAAAGGAAGCTGGCAAACTAATAATAGGTTCGTTTGTAGTATTCGCTCCGTTAACGTCGTCTATGTTGCGTGCCACTTGCGCCGCGTTGCTGCTACGGCGGTACTCATATTCCATAATTACTCGTATTTTTAACGTATTCATGATGATAAAATCAAATGCGATGAAAACATAAAACTAATAAATAAACAAATACAATAACAATTTTACAAAAAGGATTCCATGTTTTTAAAATAAAATTTATTTGAAATTAGAATTCAAACAAAAATTATTTTGATTTGAAATGGCCAGTACCTACTGCAGAACGGCAATGTCACATGCCTGCAGTACACTGCTCGCAAAGTTGAACGAAGTTGGGCAAAGACGAGTGTGTACAGGGACACTTCGCTTCACTTCGAGCAACCTCGAATCGCCTCGGCTGACTTCCGATCGTTGTCGGTTTTTTCCGCCCAAGTCAAAGGACCGAAGTTTCGAGCACGAAGTGACCCTGTACATTACTCGGCTTACTTCTATAAAGTTAACGTTGTGCTGTTTCATTTAAAAACGTTTTAATTCGATCCAAATTGCTTAAGCCAAAAATGAATTGGTCACAAGAGCAAATACTATTGCTTTTGGAGTTGCTCCAGGGAGAGACGGTAATATGGGACCCTGGAAATATTTTTTTTTGCATCCAATATATGCACATAGTTAAAATACACAACAGTTCACAAAACAAATACAGCTGCCACTTGTACGTCCTCCATCTCGCCTAGCGTGTGAGCCACGACTACTTCCTCACGAAGTTGAGCGTGTGTGTACAGAGGCTCCTCGTACCTCGGCTGACCTCAAGGAATACTTCGGGCGAGGAACTTCGCGAGTAGTATACTGCAGCCTATAGGTTAAGACCTATTATAAATCTTTTTAAATAAAAACAAAACGTACATCGCCATCGATGTTTGTAGTATTTTTAACACGATTTTAACTCCGCATGTATCTATCTATCTATGTAACGGAATCTTTTAATGCAAATTTCATCAACTTGTAGACGGCCGATTGACTAAAAAATTTGCTCTCGTGTCAAGGACCGATGAAAATGCATTAATTTTATAATTTTATCTTAGTATCATGATGTGGATCACCAGGATAAAATAAAATAAATATTATTTTCATCACAGCTCGTAACCAATATCACAGAATAAATAATGGTACTACGTACCAATGCGTGTTGTTCATTTTTTTTAAAACTCTTGTATTATTTAGATACTTTAGCTCTTTCGCCGTGTGGTGGCGGCGTAAGAGTGATAAGCGACGACAGAGGAAAGGGAGGGACAGCCACTTCTTGATAAAAACTAAAAATAAAAATGTGGTTGTCATCCCGTCTGCCAAACATGAAAAATATGACAAATTCCGCTTATGGGGGAATCTAATTATGGTTCACGATAGCACGAATATGTCGGCTCGACCGGCGAAGGACCACGCTCTCACAGGATACCAGCGTAAAATAGAAGCTTAATATTGTTGTGTTTTGTATGGTAATTGTAGAGGTTCAAAGACTCTTTTTTACTGGAAACAAGGCATTCCATCTTAGTTCTCAGGGGTGACAACACATCTGCGTTTTGATTCTTAATCGAAGATAAATGTAGATATGTCTATGGGCCACAGCATCCACTTACCAACAGGAGGACTGTGTGCTCGTTTATCACCCTTATTCTATAAAAAATATGAATATAATACAAGTTTTGAAGTTAAAAAAACCCTAAATAATTTTTTCTCTACTCTCCAAATTTGAAAAAAACACTCTCGGAAAGAGGTTGTTCTGAAAAAACTTCTGCAATCGGATTTTCGCTCCTCCGGGAATGGTAGTTTTTTTGTTCTATTTATATTTATATTCTATCGAACGTGACGTGTGGCGAACCACGTCGCCGGTTTTCCTCCCGGAGATTTCTTAGCAATAAAAGAACTACCAGTTCGTAAATCCTAACGACTTCGAAAATCCTGATACTAACTAGGATTTACGAAATCGAGAATATAAATTTTACAATGTGGTAGAGCCACACTGCAGCTATTATGGTTGTAGCATGAATGGGTCGGCTCGGCCGAGGAAGGGTTACGCTCTCACATAATAACAGCGTAAAATAGCAGCTATATGCTGCTGTGTTTCGTATGGTGAGTGTAGAGAACCGGAGACTCGTTTTACTGGAATCGAGGCATTCCATCTTAGTCCTCAAGAGTGATAACGCATCTACATTTTGATTCTTAAGCGAGGTTAAAAATGTAGATGTCTATGGGCCACAGCATCCACTTACCATCTGGTGGACTGTGTGCTCGTTTGTCAGCCTTATACTATAAAAATTAAAAATAGAGACAGCTCATTAATTCATTAAAACCTATTAAAAGCTCGCTGCTGCTGCTTCCTTATTGCTTATTGTGTGTACGGTCCAACCGTACATTTCTGCCGGCGTTAGCACTTTACGTGAAGCAATCGCTATAGTTCGACAATTATAAAAATTAAGTTAGTTCACGTAACCGCGACGGACGCGAGCTCATTAACAAAACATTAACATTTAACATTTTTTAACATATTTTAATCTAAAATTTTTAAATTTTTTAAATTTCTATTAAATTGTTTTTATATAGAATTTTTATTATTATTAAACATATGTCCAATACCCGAACAGCTGTTTTTACCATTACTAGGAAGACCCTGCTGCCTATCTCTTGTTTCAGTTTTCCCCTGCCCACGGGACATATATACAGACATATAGTGGATATTCTTACACCGCCACTTACACGGTCAATTTTTCTTCTTAATTTTTTTATCTAATTATAAATAATTTATTTAAACAAATTATCATGTTGAACGTAATGTATTTATTTCACCACGATCATGGGATATTCTAGCGACAAATTTTTTGACAGTCAACTCCCGTGCCTATTCTTATCCTGGACGATTCCACGGAAGCGCCTGCAGGCTCTCAGGGTCAGTATGGGCAATATCGTTGGAGCGATCAGTCATTACTCAAGATAACGCTGGCAGAGGATTGTCCGTGTTCTAAAATGAAACAGTTACCTATGAACAAGGAACAGTCGAAGGTTACATGTTTTGGGTGAGTGGTTTTTATATTTGTTGTGTGAGTGTGAGTGTGTGTGTTGATGTTTATATGCCTACTTAAATTATTCCTAAACAGAAACAGTATAAAATCACTTACATTATTTATTACATACGGAATTTTATTTTATTATAAGTATATTACAAGCCGAGCCGCGAAAGAGAGTTGTGGTAGCTCAAGGGCTAAGCAATTTTAAGTGCTGATATACCACGTGCTCGGCGGCGAAGGAAAACCTCGTAAGGAAACCGGCGTGTCTGGAAAAATAAGAAAACATGAAATATTTTGAAAACGCGTGAAGTTCGCCAACACGCATAGCGGACAGCGTAGCGGATATTTTCTTGCCCTAAATCTGTCTCAAAAATGAGAAGAGGCTAGTGCCCAGCTGTGGGACGTGTACAAGCTGTAACTTTAAACTTTAAAATGAACTAAAAATCTTATAATAATAAATTTTTACTATAAAGTATCGGAAAAAGTTTATAAATCATACAGTTTTACAAATATACGAAAATAGTTATATTAAAAAATATAAGTAAAATCACCATTATAATAAATACTTTCGTTGTTGATAGCTGAATGAAGTTATTACGACGGCTAAGGACATGCAACGTTAGCTAAAATTCTTCTTCCTTTTCATCTACCTGTAAAGGATAGACATGAGTATCTGCTAGCTCTTGTAGAGAGGGTTTGCCTAAATAGTCGTTTACGTTTGGTAGTCGAATTGACGCGTAGGTATTAGAAGAAAGCACGATTACCCTGATGAAATTTTGAAATGGTGGACTACTTCTCCCCCATCCCTATCTTTCTCAAGTGAGGCGCACCAGAACACATGGCGCGCCCTCCTCCGCGGGCTCCAATGTCACTTGCGCAACAGACGCCCTGTTCGATGCGCGAAGGCCCTGGGGTCAGGAAAAACGAGCATTCAGAATCACTTGTCTTCCTGACTCCAGCAGTGGTGGTTCTGGTCTATGGCTCCACTGCCCACCAAGATTCGGCTGCGGAGGGAGGGGCGGCGCCTTGTAATACCGACACTCCTTTCCGCCAGGGGCCCCAGTACCACCACCAATTAACGGTGCGACCCCGTCAGAGTCGCGAAGGATATCGCGCATCGCCATATCCTCCGCGAATTCACTTCGACTGCAGCGGTAGGGGGAGAGGGCACCCCTCGCGCCGCAGGCCACTAACACGCATCCGAAATGGGCTCGCCAAGCCCACTCGGAGTGGCCTCCTCGGGCCGGCCCTACAAGTCGGGCCAACTATGTGGGTTCCTCTTAGTTAACCCTGGGTGACCAAGCCACGGCTACTAAGCCCCCCGCCACAAGGCGGGAACCTAGTCGGGGGGAGGGATTAAGTACCTACATTATAAGATATGATGTGATGTTTACCTTTTAGTGCCGTTGTCTACACATACCTAGCTAATGATGTATTTGTAGGAAGGTGGGTAAATAGAATTAATTTACAATCACAAAATACACGGATTACAGGTATTCAACTATAAATTGTACTGAGACTAATTTAATAGCTGATAATAATAATTAATTCGTTTCCACGAATTAATTATCCGAATAGTCCAGGATGAGCCAGTAGCGGGATACAACAAGTGAACCGTGCCACGCCAGAGCCACTGAGCCACAGAGACATGACTGCTTTAACGGCGGGCGGCCGCTCCGTCCGTTTTGTACAATCGAGACAAGTAGCTACACGAGCGCCACTGCAGGTGCAATGCGCAGGTGTGCGGTGCACGTGTTGTTTACAATAATTCCGACTACCCACAGAGGCGCTGCGACATATCTTTATAAGATTTTGTGAAATATTACCCCATTCATTGGTGATAAATATTCTTTGTTCCTTAACTGTGGTGGAAACAGGGTCTCTTACATACACAGCTATTTTGAAAGCTTTCCACACATGTTTAATTGGATAAGGTTACAACAGTGGCGATAGTTTAACTGTGCCCTTTTTTACAGGGAAGGAAAACCTGAGAAGCAGAGCGAGGACTGCGACGTAACCCACAATGTACGCAAGTACACGAGTAATATTTTCTTCATTTCAAAATCATTAGCAGCTGACTCTTTATCATCAGCCTGTAAAAATCCACTTTTTACTATTCTAAGTCAGTGCTTGACCGCTATTCCATCTGATGGTAAGTGGTCAGCTACATCTGAAGGTGTCGAAGCTCACTGACTCAGCGTACCAAAAGCTTACATTATAGTCGGATGGGAAGACAGATGCTGGCAAATTATTCCACTCCATCGCCGGATATGAGCCTCTTGATACAGGAAGTATAACTATAGTTCGTGAGGTTAATATGGTTCATCAGGTTAATGTGGTTACTTTCTTATAACTCAAAAACTACAGTCTTGTTCACATAGATGGCTTTGTGATACAATATATATATATATATATATATATATATATATATATATATATATATATATATATATATATATATTAATTAGCTCTTCATCGGTCAATCAAATAGTAAAGGGTCAAAAGGGCAATGCTTTATCGACGCCATTTTGACAGTTGGCATTATAGTAAATATTTTAGTCGATTTTGGTATAGTGTTGTGTAGTTAGTTTTTCTAAGTAGATTTTTCGAAGTGTTTCTAGTGATTGCAAAACCTTGTTTGCAATTTTTTTTTCAAAATATATTAGTTATGGCATACGATTTTGTGTTTTTGTCTTTGTTCTTCTCCTAGTTTTAGTTTTATATGGTGGCAAAGTTTAAGGTCACCTTATTACCATCACGTACCTTTTAATCGTTACTCTTGGCTGGCGGATTTCAGATTGCAGTACCAGACGTCGACGCGCCTGCAAGCTCTCAGATTCAGTCTGGGTGGCATTGGTGTATCGATCAGTCATTATTCAAGACAACGCTGGCAGAGGATTGCTCGTGTTCTAAAATGAAGCTTTCACCTATGAACAAGGAACACCCGAACATTACACTTACTGGGTGAGTAACTCTTATAATTCTTCTTCTTGTTTTTTATCTAAGAGCCACGCTGCAGATATGTTATGGTTGTAGCACGAATGGGTCGACGACCAGGGTAGGACCACGCGCTCACAGAATACCTGCGTTGTATAACAGATTAATGTTACAGATTTATGTATGGTGAGTGTAGGGAATCGAGACTTTCCTTACTGGAAATGAGGCATTCCATCTAAGCCCTCAAGCAGGCCTCTGTCACTCTTGCTACCTGCGTGAAATAATTACCTAAAATCGCGATTCACCCAGGGTGTAATACGCAGTCGGGGCGCGTTCTAGGCGATTGATGTATTTTAACGCTAATTACGTAAATAGTTTTTTGTAAACATTTGTTGTAATTTTTGTTTAGTGTTTAGTATTTAATTGTAGGATAAAATAGTTCAAAATTTTTAATGTGATTTAAAAATAATATATGTGTATAATATAACCTATCTATTTGGTAATTATAATGGCGAAACCTACTATAATTGTTGCGTGAATGGATGCATAATCAGCAAACAAAAGGATTCAGATATATCATTTTTTAAGTTACCTAAGGATAATGAACGATACATGTATTTAATTTTTTTGTTAAATATTTATAGCAAAAAAGAATTACGTAATAATTTAAATACAGAAGTAATACCTAAGTACTTTATTACAAAACTTAGTTGAAATTTACGTAGGAAACTTACAAAATTTACGTAGGTAAATTGAAATAGATAACTTACATGTCTTTTGTAATTAAAATATTTTAAGTTATCACAAAGCACTGAAATTAAAACTTTGTTTACAAGATTTTTAACTAATTAGAATACAATCACATTTCATTTAGGAATTGTATTTCAGGTTCATTTGTTGTTTACACTACCTACCTATTTCTTCCGGGCGATTTATTAAATCGTGATTCGCGATGAGTGACCTTGCACGTTGCGTGCTTTAGGCACAGAATTTGCATGTAACAAAAATATGTTCATTCGATCAGTCAGAATAGGTACCTTACCTATTTTACTTACCGTTTCGCAAAGTTTAATTATTTTTTATTTATACTCTTTATTGCACACAACATATAAATTTATGTACAATTAGGTGACCTCATCGCTTAACAGTGATCTCTTCCAGGCAAACCTTGGTAACGTACGAGTAGCACTACGTATTATTTATTCTATGCCTTGGTGAAGGAGATGCCTAAATAGAAGTGTGCATAAATAGTAGATAAATGAGCATATATTAATACATATTATAAGCTTAATAAGTACCTAATTACATGTGTTTTTAATATATTTTTTATTCTTGACAGCCCTAAGTAACCACGGAAAAGCAGCCGTGATTTGGGAATGGGAAAAGATGCAAAGTAATACGGACACTCGCGCGCAGCGATTAAGGTTTATTTAGTATGCGTGCGCAATTTATCTTATTAATAATAATTATGCAGGCTATTACACGTCGGCAAGCAGTCAACATCAAAAGAGTGAAACTTCTGTACGTAACAACGGAAAACAGCCGTGATGTGGGAATGGGAAAAGATGTAAAGTAATACGGACACTCGCGTGCAGCGATAAAGGTTTACTTAGTATGCGTGCGTAATTTATCTTATTAATAATAATTATGTAGGCTATTAAACGTCGGCATGCAGTCAACATCAAAAGAGTGAAACTATCGATGGTATGGAAGGGTGGGATTAAGTACCTATATTTTAAAATATGATGTGATGTTTTTTCCTTCCTTTCCGTTTAGTGCCGTTGTCTACATATACCTACCTAACGATGTATTTTTATTAGATCTTGTGAAATATAGCCCCATTCTTCGGTAATAAGTATTCATTGTTCCATAACTGTAGCAGAGACAGGATTTCTATCATACAGAGCTATTTTGAAAGTGATCCACACATGTTTAATTGAATAAGGTTACAACAGTGGCGATAGTTTAACTGTGCCCTTTTTTACAGGGAAGGAAAACCTGAGAAGCAGAGCGAGGACTGCGACGTAACCCATAATGTACGCAAGTACACGTTATTTTTTTCTATTTGTAAATCATTAGCAGCTATTTCTTTATCATCAGCCTATAAAGCACATTTTTTACTATTATAAGCCATTGCTTGACCACTATCTCACCTGATCTTAGATGACGAAGATAATAAAGCGTACTAACTTAGCATACCAAAAGCTTTTCACTCTTTCATTGAAAACACATACACTATATCTATTCTATCTCATGGAAAGGAACATAGAATACTATTATACATACTTAATAGAACAGGGGAGTGGGCGGAGCCCGTGTAGCCACTAACATTTCAATTCACACCTATAAATGTCAACACAATTAATCGTTTCCAATTTTCGTGTCAAGCGTCTCTGCATGCAAATTATTTAAAAAAATGGCAAATTGTGCAATAATTAAGTGGCGAAAGAACATCGGAAAATGGAATTTAAATGAAGGAGACAACATATCCTACAACCAGTAAGTCGTAACTATTTATGTTTTCTGAATATTAGAAACAAAAATAAAGAAATATTGATGAGTCAAAAACATTAATCAAAAGTCTCAAATGTGTAAATTCGCTCAGTCTGTGAATACTGCGAATCGGGTTTGTAGTAGTGATAATACGACGTAATTGCTTGTATGTGTGCTCCCGGCGACGCCATAAGTGTTCTATGAGTATAATTGGCTGACGAGTGTTTTTGTATGTTGTTGTGTGTCTTTTACTACATTTTTGTTCTATGTTAGACAACGGTAGTTCATTACTCATCAGAAAAATATAAATACACCTTTTTGATGTGAAACATCTATTGGCGCGCTTTGAAAGTAAAACCAACTCGAATGCCGTGACGGTAAACGGCATGACGCTTTTATACCGTCATGTATCCTCTAGTTCACCGCTCTCGACTCCTTGCGCGTATACTATACACTTCGTTGCTTCTCTGTTTGTACTGCGTGTGCCTTTATATTTTCTTCTTTACTCCATACTTCTTTATTAAAGTTACAGCCTGTATACGTCACACTACTGGGCACAGACTTTCTCTAATTTCTGAGACTTTTTAAGGCTAGGGAACGACCACCGTGCTGCCCCCAATATGTGTTGGCGAACTTCACATATATTTGAAATATTTTTTTTCTTATTTCTCTGACATGATAAGTTTTCTCATGATGTTTTCCTCCATCGCCGAGCACGTGGTAAAAATCAGCACTTAAAAATCAATATTACTTCCTTATTGGTTTCCATCAACTGTAAATTCAACCATCAACATGATGTTTCACATCTGCCTGGCGTCCGTGACGGCCAACTTTTTTTTAATAAAAACAACGTAGATATGAAATACATGTGCTGGATTATTTCTTCCCTATGGAACAAAGGCAGCCCGGGGGGCTGGTATTAGTCTTCATTTTAACGATGTAAATTCCTTCTGGCTCACTACATTGAAATTTTTAATAAATTAAATGAAATCAAATAAAATCATTTAATTACAATCCTAGTGTACATAATTGGTCTTAAATTTAAAAAATGTGCTTAAAGCTTAGACGCCCCTTTTCAAGCACTGCAAGTTTGACGAGGACATTGCTTATATACATAAAATATAAAATATACTTAGAAGCTAAATATAATTAGAAGAAGGAGCTAGATAGGCTTGATCGAAATTGGTTAATTCTGATATGTTTTTTATTTTCTGTGGTAATTTATTATAAACTTTTATTGCCATATAGCAGTGGCTTGTATTTAATATTTTTGTTCGCGACTGTGGAAGGTATAATTTATTTTTGCTACATGTATTTATGTTATGTGTATCTTTAATCTTATTGAAAATGTTATTATTTTTGTAGATAAACAGGCATAGATCATAAATGTACATACAGGGTAAGGTAAAAATATTTAGTTTTTTGAAATACGGTCTACAGCTAGTAGTATTATCAATCTGGGCTAGTATTCTAAAATATGAAGAGTAGGTATTACTAAGTAATATGAAGATATAAAAAATAAATGGAGAACGTGTAGAGTTCATTCTCTTCACCTCCATTACTTTTATTTTTACCTATATTGGACTACAAAAAGAACATACATCGGCATCGACGTTTGTTCATCGCTCTTCCATTTCAGTTACTTTGTCAGAGTTTAGCAGTGTGGTGGTGGGGTGGGTATGCCCGTTTAGTAAGCGTGGCGACTATCAACCTATGAGGCAATCTATGAAGGAAGCCGGAGTCAAAAATCATGCCGTAAAGTAAGATCACGTAGGATTGCATAATCAAAATTACATCGTACAATTCTCTGCTTCAAAAAACCATTTAATGCGATTCTATATTGTGCAGCTAAGGCATAAGAATTACAGTGGTATGAAATTTCGTTCAGGAGTCCCACTTGGCAATCGTACAAGTTGTAAAACTAGATTGTGAATGTTACGGTTTACATTTCTTAACGCGTCTCCCTAGGTACAGTCAGAATAATGTAAATGCGCAACAGACGTACGCATTTATTAATTTTATACTTACATGTACAAAAATAAGGGTAATAAATTATTAAAGAAAAATTGTACGAAAATGGTTAGTGACGTCCATAATATTAAGGAATACGTAAATAAAGTTAATTCAGGTTATATAAAAAATTATGATTGTACAAAATTATTGTAAAGTTATAATCAATTTTTTTTCAAAATTGATTATTTTGAAAAAAAAATTGATTATAACAAAAAAAAAATTCTATTCTATTCTGTTCAAACAAACATTCTTGTTATAGTAATGAAAACCGGCCAATTGCATGTCAAGCCATGCATTGTGTATCAGTGTAGGTAGGGTTAGTGTGGGGGTGAACTTCGAAGGGGCCTTCTTGATGCTATGACAATATTAAGTGACTTCGCGGTTTTACCGCTATGACGACTAAAAATAAGTCCAAATACAACGATTTTAATTGAAAGTCTTAGTTTCCAAGCAGACTTCGAATGTCTTGAGAGGAAAGATACTGAGAAATAAGGAGTTTAACTTTTAAGAGGCCTGCAGCGTACCTTGTATGAACTATCTTATCATGTCTAAGATGAATTTGAATACAACTGCCTTTATTCATAAGGAATAGATTACAACTCTGCAGGATCTCCGATGCATGATCCTAATCTCGTATCTCGAAAGGGAACGGACCGGATACGGAACAAAGATGCATATTTTGGTTCCCGATGGAGACCATTCACGATGTATAATAAAATATTATTCGACCCCACGGGTAACGTGTGGGATCCACCGAGGAATGCTTTTTTATGTTCATGTTTCACCTTGTAATTGGGACATATGATTTTACTGCAATTATTTATGTACTTATCCACAAACATTAGTCATAAATTTGATAGAAAATATCTTTATGTAAATCCGTGAATGTTAATTTTATGATATTTATAGTCAAAAACAATGTATCAATTCTTTGTTATCTTTAGGTGCCCGTAGCCCGTCACCAGCAATATAAATGAGAATATTTTTCCATTTATACATCGAGAATTTGTGACTTCCTAAAGTACACAATTTCGCAAAATATAAAATACCATCATAATTTTTTTAAACTGTAGCCAATTTTGACGACACTCAGCCTTATTTACTTATAATAACTACACGTAGTACGTTTCTATTGAATAAGAATATGTGTATGTATGTATGTATGTGATAGGGAGTAGTGTTCAAAAAAGATTAAAAAACATATCGATTTTGTAAAAAATACAATCTACATCAAATCATTCACATGCCAAATCCATACAAAAATGGTCATAGTTCCCTATCCATCTATTAGTTCCCTGCAAACCTGCAATGCAGCCCTAAGTTATACATGACCGTAACGAACCTTCCCCTAAACTATCTCTGCCCTAAACTATCCTGGGGCCGCCTGCTTGAACCAAGAGTATCACGAATGAAGCTGTAGGCCCACAATAGCTACCTACTAACTAAAAAAATATGCGAAAGTGATATGTCAGGATCGGTCTCTCGGCGATCGATCCTCCCTGCCTACTCCGCAAAGAAATACTTAAAGATAGTAGTAATGCATTTTTTTTAAATGTTTATTTTTTACAGTTTACAATCAAATTAAAATGTTACAATGCAAATAGTTTAAGGTACCATTTTCTATGGAATTGTAACGAATTTTTTACTAATTCAAAGGCCTTTTATCAGTTGGTCGACTATTATTCGTTAAATTGTTAAGCCTGTGCTCGTTTTTATTTTAAATTCAATATATATATATATATATATATATATATATATATATATATATATATATATATATATATATACTACCATCATACTCTTTTACTTACAACATAGATATTTCTAGGAGTGATCTAGTCAATATTTTATCCGAAAAACTTAAAATTGAAAAAAAGACGAAAAATTTATAATAATCTTTGGGGATCCTACATCTAAATTAAGTCACTTTAATATATCTTTTTAAAATTATCCAGGCGAAGCTGGGACGGGTCGCTAGTTATTAAAATAATACTATTTCCACATTCGTCGGGGCGACTGTACTCGCAACGTTGATGGCGCGGTGTGTCGAAATATCCCATCGGCGTCGGAAGCTGCGCCGTGTTTGTCACCAACGACCCGCCACGTGACATTTTATGTCATTTATTTCCGTTGCTGTTTATTTTCTTATCAAATTTCAAAGGATTCATTCTAGGGAAATCACCTTTCGAAGGTTTTTTTTAAATCACTTATTCTGTATTGTCGTAAGTGCACGCCGGTCTAAAACCGGTCGTAAATAGGACTTTCTGCATCGGGATTTCAGATGTAGCTTTCCGTTATTTATTTTTACTGCAAAATTATGAACATATTACTCCGTACTCTATCGGAGACGATGAGATCCTTGTTAGACTATGACTTAGTCACACCCAGGCGACAAGTTGTCCCGCTGTAGGCTCTATTGTCTTATTAGTCCAAGCAATGAAACTAACTCTACTACGTGGTAGAGCCATGCTGCAGCAATTTTTAAACAGGTTTCCTGATGAGGAAGAAAGTAAGCAATTTAAAACTACTA